GAAAAAGAACTCATGAGATCAATAAGCTGAACATGTCCAGATCATCCTCAAGTTTAGCAAGTACCTTAGCCTCTGGCTCGTCTAAAGTGTCTAAGCTCTCACAGAGTGTTGCAATGATCGACTCATACCTATAAAAGGGAAACATATGCAAAATGTTTTTTTTTTAATTATTCTAAATTATGACAAATACATAGCCTTCAGAAGTACTGCAGAATTAGCCAGCTGTCTAGACAAGTACCGAAAACAGGTTCTTACGTGTTAGGATAACGTCTGAATATGTCTTTGATGACAATAATGGCCTCTTGAACAACATAATTTACTTTTATCTTTATAAGCTCAAGCAAAACGCTGATGCACCGTTCTGTAGCTCTCTCGAGCTTGATGGCACATCGACCAATTGCACGAACAGCCTTTCTAACAAAATCAACATCTACTTCTGTAGCATACTCTTTGAGTTCCAACAAAACCTGTAAAAAACAGCTTATCAATATCTAAAAGAGGGACACTTGGCCTGTCAGATATTTTCACCATTTGCATTAAAAGATTTATATGCATCCACATCCAAAAGGAAATTCCGTGAAAACTATGTTTCCATCATTCAATGGTATTAGCACAAAAAGAAGTTCATATATAATATTAAATCTCTTCATTATATTCATTTACGACTAATGGGAATGTTTGCTTTTGTTTGTTTCTGAATTGTAAGAGTGACTCATCACTGTACTATTGTTTCACACAAGCAGGCACAGAGTTCATTGTTTAACTTTTCATGTATGTATGTACACATATAGAGTAAAAATATACAGAGTAGAAAACTTTTAAACTTAAAGTGGAAAGGAGCTCGTCCACCAACATTTTTAGCCTTTGATTTATCTTCGAGATTTGTGCTACGCATCAAGGCTATCTTGAGATGTGTGCATTGATTTGCATCACATGCTAGCACAAATCACAAAGCGAAATCAATGGGTAAAAAAGTTGGTGGACAACAAGCTTCTACCCACTTATGTTCATAAGAACTTCACTCGTGTGTGTGTGTGTGTGTGTGTGTGTGTGGTGGTGTTGGGGGCGCGGGGGTGGGGGTGTTTTTAGAATGTGGAGTACCTGCAACAGAAAGTGCCAACTAATTCCAGTTTTTATTAAACTAGGTGCTGAGAGGAAGAAATCTCCGGCAATAACCAACAGCAAATAGCTTTCTTTGTTTTTCTGGGAGAACTGACACTTTCCCCCCTTTATTGTAGTTGATTCAAGTTGATGTGATTCATCAGACTGAAACCCTTTGATTCCTAAATGAAGTGACTGGTATATCTTAGGCCTGACAAGGCTTAACTACTATAGCAAATGTGCAAAGAAAGCAGGTCTTAAAAAATAAAATAGAGCTAGAGATCGATCTGCTTGGCAAAACAAAAGCATCCAATCTATGATTTTTCGCCATTGGAGAGTGCTGCCCATGCCCCCAAAAGACCAAGATTGTACTGTCAAGAATATTGAAGTTTGTTACGGCAGTAATACATAAAAAGACAGTCAGAGAGAACTTCCTGGCGAGGACACCATCCTGTACGCATCAATAGGAACTTTTTTCCAGCAAGAATCCAGAACCCTCTCCCTTTGTTTTTCTTTTAATTTCTTTCCTTACTAATCCATAAGCAGCTTGGCTGGAATGAGCATTATTGCAATCAATATTTGTATGCATATGGTCTATGCACTTTTGTAAATAGTTCCATTTGACCAGTGCACTCTTTGCTAACTAATAAACCTATACATATCTGTCGTTTTAGCTATTAGTCTTTTAGTTAATACTTTTAAAAATAAGATAATGAAGTATGAAATATATAGAATGTAGTTATCCCCTGTCGCGTCTAGACAACAATTTTACAATCAAAGGGACACATGTGAAGATCATGTCAGCCCACAAATTTCATAGAACATCTTTTCTTTTCTAAGTGAAAGATTAAGGGTCCCCAACCAATGTCATAAAATGCGGATTAAGCGACTGCTTATGCTTAAGCGGGTTGGAACAGCTCCGATTAAGGCAAAAGCGCTCCATTATACGGTCATCCGCATAATCACGTGGATTTTCAATAAGTGCCTGCATATCTTTTTATGCGGTGTTTTTCTTTTTAATACTTTCCGGTTAAACCCGTTTATTGCAAACCCGCCTTGACTATTAAAGTAAAAAAAAAACTGACTCTAAAGTTCTCCAAAGTCCCACTATTCTCTCTCTTGTTTGATCCTAGTGACTGTGACAAAAATCTCCAGCCTTCGTCGACACTTGCTCGAACTTGAGCCGCTTGGGGAAACTCACTGGAAGATGGTATGACCTCTGACACTCTCCCTACAAGCTCTCTGACGATCACCTCAAAGCTCTCCGGCATTCCCTTCAAAGCTCTTTGGTGAGATAGATTAGTCCAAGCTTCTAAGTATAGTTTCTACTTTTTTTATAAATTTTATTTTATATATTTTAACATATGATAAATAATAAATATATATTAAAAATTCAAAACTGCATAATTTTGCATAATCCAATTAATAAGTGCTCCCGGACCACACACATAATAAAACCATGTTCTTGAACATTGTCCCCAACTATCAAAGAATATAATATCCATATGACCTGATAACTACAGTAATTGCAAAGAAAGTTATTAACAAGTAAAGCAGAAATGCAAAAGATATAAAACTAATAAGTTCGTGTAAATCCTTCCATTCTTTACCTGATCAATATTCCGGTCAGAAGCCATCTTTATCATAATCTCTAACTTTTCCATCTTAACATATATTGGATCATTATACTTGCAGAAGAACACCTATAGACAAATTGGATAGAGAGATGTAATCAACTAGAATGAGAGGTGAAAAGGAAACACTACAGCAATAAATACAAATTATTATCCAAACACACCTTAATTTCATGTGCAAGGATAGTAGGCCGTTTCTGTACAATAAGATTAATGTTACGCAATGCGACATATTGTATCTCAGGCTCTGCAGAAAGAAGTGTCACTAGAGGGGGTGCCATTTTCTTGCACAAGTTTCGAACCACATTGGTACTAGTAATCAGTTCAGTTCCATTTACTGAAGGATCATCTGCAGCATCAACGTCATAAAAATTTAAACATTACATGGAATAAAAATGGATGGAAATGTTTATCCGATTCACTTAAAAGCTACATCCTAACTATAGCTCCATACTTGAACTTCATACTTTTTATATTTATCAAGATACTGCAACAAGGCTAGACCGTTACTGCACAACCGCCACGGTAACAAATCGCTATATTCTTTTGTCACCATGTAATACATGGAAGAAGATGAAAAATAAAAAAAATAAAAAAAATAAAAGAAAAAGAAAACAGCATACCTTTACCGCAGAAAGCACAACTGCACAATAGGCATGCTGGAGACGGGGAGTAACTCGCTCCACTCTGTTTTCAGCTTCACGGACATCAGCTGCCTTGTACCTTGATAGGGCGTCCAAAATGAAAACTTGGCCCCATCTGCATAACAAGTAAATCTTGAGAATCATTTCAACCCAGTCTACTCAATAACAAGAGCATATAAGATGGTAATATGGCAATATAATTAGAGCAGTGAACTCCAAAAACTAGTAACCAGTGGAAAAATTTGAAAGCCAAGCACTAAACCACATTGTGCTTGATTTTCCATATCCCATCTTCTGTTAGATGGTTATCTATTCCCAGTAACATAATCATGTAATCTAACCCAAGACGTGACACTATAGAACCACTGCAAGCTGACTGAAAATCCTCCCCTACTTGGCCCTAGAGGTGGATCCAAAACAATCAGATCCTCTTTCCTTCTTTTCTCATGAAATAAACATTATCACTCTATCCTTTCTTCAGGACAGTTTGCCAGAGGAGTCAAATATAACATTACCTCTCAGATGATTCCTAAAAGGCATAACTAAGAGCAATCAGTTGTTCTTTATGTAGCAAAAAAATGAGAATATTTTTTCGGACCTTGGACCTTATTAGATTCTCTACCATAGTATACAAGTCAAAATTGAGAAGTTTCAAGCTTGAATGTATCATTTATTTCTAAGCAATTTGCAATATGTTCATGAACAACTTAAGGAACTGCTACTAAACCAACATTCCAGCAAGAATGATCCATCTTATATAAAGGCTATTTCTTGGTGGGAAAGTATCCTAGAAATTATTGCTTCTCAAGTGTATCAAATGCATAAAATTCTTCGATACTGTGGAGCGCCAAGATAAGGTATATATATTTAACAGCCAAACATACGAACCACATTTTTTTTCCTTCATCTTACTTGTCTAAAAATTAAAAAGAATTAAACTAAATATCTTCAAAGATAAGATCATAAGCCCATATGTCATATTTAGTTCTCATAGTCTCAAATTTTTTTCTCTCTTCATGGAGGTGAATCTGTAATCTAGTCAATACTTTAATTGTGATATTCGAAAATAAGGTATAGCTATTTGACAGAGCAATAAAACAAGCTAGTGATAGATTGTTTTATTCAAAACGTAACTAATAAGGTATAGCTATTTGACAGAGCAATAAAACAAGCTAGTGATAGATTGTTTTATTCAAAACGTAACTCAATTCAAAATAAGCAAACATCCCATGATAAAACAAGCTAGTGATAGATTGTTTTATTCAAAACGTAACTCAATTCAAAATAAGCAAACATCCCATGTAACCCAATTTGCCAATACCAGGAAACCAAAATTTCACCTCCACACTAGCAATGCCCTCAGGCCTCAGCTACTTGCACCTTCAAATCATTAACTCCTTCAACTTCCTGTTGCATAAAAAAAACCATAAAAACTAAAACAAAAAGATTCCACCCAAAAGACAATTGTTTCCATAGGAATTGCGAATCACCTCCAGAGCCTTGGACACCTTACTAATCCTGATTCATCCAGCATTCCTTCAGCCTTCCCACGAAAAAAAATCAAAAAATACACTAAAAGATTAAATGGAGTAAATTTACAAAATCCACCTGAATTTTAGAGTGATTTGCACAAAAGATCCGATGAACTTTCAAAAAGTTTCACTGACACATACTTAAAACAAACTAGTTTGTTACTGACGTGATGCAATGGAAACTACAAAAATTAATGGAAGCAACTACCAATATGTAAGGGGTTTCCCCTCCTAGAAACTACCTTAAAAATCGAATCATTATACTGAAACTACCTTTGAATGTCGATTTATACATAAACCATCTTTATAATGGGTTTGCGTCGCAATCAAACACCTCCCGGTCAATTTTTTCACTGAAAACCCAGAATACCCTTGAAAACTCACATTCAAGACACTTGAGTTAAATTTTGTAATGTTTCAGGTCTAGTTATACATCTCAATTTCCTTCATTGAGCGTGAATTTTTTAAAGATTAGTTTTTCTTCTTTTTTAGTGAAATTTTGGTTGAGATGAGGTTGATTGCAATACAAACCCATTTAAAGGTGGTTTATGTATAAATTAACATTCAAATGTGGTTTCTATGGGAGTGCACAAAAAATATTTGTATCCGAGAAAATATCTATATCTTTATTTGTTAGGATGTGGATATTGTTACTAAAATTTATAACCAATAAGGTATGGTAATGGATATGGACCATATGGTTAATTGGATTTGGTTATGTAGTGAAATATCTGTATTTATGTCCGAAATATCCGAATATATGTTGGGCATATAGTTGCAACAGTTATGATCCTTAAATTAATGGATTTGACGCTAATTTTGATAATCAAGAGACCTAATCTTAACTTTTCAGATATAATAAAACATATTAATGAATTCCCTTGTATCATATAAACTATATTTTTTCAATATTATCTTGCTTTATCATATTTGTTTTGAATCCGCATCTATATCCTCTTATATATCCGCATACATTTCCGTATCCGTATCCGATTTTAGCGCATATGGTTATGAATTTTCTTTATCAAAGCATATCTGTATCTGTATCCATGTCCTATTTTAGGAGATATGTTTATGAATTTTCTTTACCGAGGCATATCCATATATGCATCCATATCCAACATTAGTAAGAGGCTACAAATATGGTAAGTATCATATGCGAGTCATATCCAAACCATATGCACCCCTAGGTTTCACTGTTAGATATTTTGGAGAAAATGTCAATATTGACACTTTCTAATTTCCTCTTAATTCTCCATCTAAGAGCATCTCCAAGGGGTCGGAAAAATCCGGCCCCTTAGCTAAATTAAGGGAGATATAAGGGAGATGTGGTCCAAGGGACCAGAAAAAAAACCCCTTCTCCCCATATCCCTTAACTTCCTCACCAAATTAAGGGGAAGGTTAAAGTCCCTTAACCTTCCCCTTATAATTTTATATTAATATATATGTTTTTAGAATTAATTTATAGTTAATTAAATTTAGTTAATGTATAGTTAATTTAAAATAATATAATTAAGTTAATGTATAGTTGATTCAATTTGATTAATATTTTATTCTAAATTAATTATTTGTTAAATTTTAATATGAATAATTAATTTAATGATTATATAAGGTAATTTCTTAATTTAAATTAATTAATTAATCATTTTTAGTTATTAATATTTAATTATTTATTCATTTATAAATAAACCACATATTTAATTAAATCCTAAATCTATAAAATTAAAAAACTAAATATAATTAATTAAGGGGTAGGGGACTTTTAAAGGGGAATCATTGGAGAAGAACCAACTCCTCCCTTAAAGTTCCCCCTAGATTAAGGAACATCCAAAGGATCCCCTTGGAGATTCCTCATACCCTAAATTTCTCTATCAAAGCTTGACTATTTCTCCACCTACCTTTCGCAACTAATCCCCACTAATCAAGTCATATTCTTATAATATATATATATATATATATATATAATATATATATATATAAATATATATATATATGAGATTAATGGGATTCCTTGTCATAGGAGAGATTCCTCCTTGACGCTCGAAATCACATGATGAGCGACATTGTGGATGATCTCGCTCCGGTTGAACTGATCTACATATTCAAACCCCCAACACACCAAGTTGGGTAAAACCGTCGTCGTTTGACCCTTCATGCACTCGTATCACAATTTTAACGGTTTGAATGAATAGAACTTTTCACATGGCTCGGGAGCGGTCAAACGACGACGGATTCACCCCCCAAACTTGGTGTTGGGGCGTAGAATAGTAGATCAAGCTTCAACGGAGGCGATCATCCATACATGCTCGCCTCCAATCATGTGATTTTTAGAGGCGTCAAGGAGGAAATCCCCATCCTATGGGACAAGGAATACCCATTAATCTATATAATAATGTCCGCTCAATCAAATGGCGATTTTAGAGGCCTGTCAAGGAGAAATCCCCTCCTTATGACAAGGATACCCATTAATCTTATATATATATATAAGATTAATGCGGTACCTTGTCATAGGAAGCGGGATTTCCTCCTTGACGCTCTAAAATCACATGATGAGCGACTTATGGTATGAATCGCCTCCTTGAACTTCTGATCTACATATTCTAAAAAACCCCAACACCCAAGTTTGCGGTCGTAATCCGTCGCTCGTTTGACCCTCCATCGAAGCCATGTGAAAAGTATCTATTCATTTCAAAACTCGTTAAAATTGATACGGAGCGCGGATGAAGAGGTCAAACGACGACGGGTTCACCTCCCAAACTTGGTGTGCTTGGCGCCCGTTTTAGCAATATGGTAGATCAAGTTCAACGGAGCGGATCATCCACAATGGTCGCTCAATCATGTGATTTTAGAGGCCGTCAAGCAGGAAACTCCCTCCTATGACAAGGCATAACCATTAATTCTCAATATATATATATTATATATATACTATATATATATATATATAATATATATATATATATATAATATATATATTATAGCTCTTCCAGTAAAAGCCGGAAAAAAGTCCCCTTCCCACTACTCTTTGTTTGCTCGTCTTCTTAAAGTGCTCTCGTCCTCTTCTTCATATAGATTAGCCTTTTCTTTGTTGCTCATGCAAGAATTCTCAGAGCAAGCAGGCTTACGGGAAAGAAGGAAAAAAAGAAAAGAGAGAAAATAATAAAGAGAGATAATTATCACGGGAAATTCTTTAGCTATTATTTTGATTTATTGATTTATTTATTAATTTTGTGTTTTCAGTCAATAGCGGTAAAAGCCCCCGGAAACGGCCGACCTCCGTACTCAGACGAGAACACATAGCTTCTGCTCAGACGAAGAAGGATGCCGAAAATAATAATAATGAACAAAATAATAGCTAAAGAATTTCTCGTGATAATTATCTCTCTTTATTATTTTCTCTCTTTTCTTTTTTTTCTTTTTTTCCCTTC